AGTTGTAGGTCAAAGTTGAACGTTCACTAAGGTTTTCTCTACAGTGCCCACTAACCAGAAGAATAGGCTAGTGCTTTCTATCTTCAAGTAGAAATCTCCATTTGACCATCCAGGCAGAGGGTAATATCTCCCCATTCATACATAAAAGAGTAACTAGGTGATAGGACTTAGTTAACACCCAGATCAATAACTTAGTGATCTAAAGGTCAACATTCCCGTTTGCTGACATCAGTAATGATAGATACCCATCCTTTTCGTTTATCAATCCCTGTCTTCTGTTTATTTCTCAACATTGAATTCTATCTATTTCCTTCAAAATTAACAATCTTCCTTGACAGATCCAGGACTTGTTAAACTGAAATTCTCTGCTTCTAAATTATGGCACCACTTAATTTGGGGACCTTTATTTGATTCTTAATATTGAGGCACAGCTGATATTGGTAATTTACATGTGCAATGTCATCTTTTTTCTGCCAGGAGTGAGAGTTCCTTGGAAGTGTATGTGTGCATATTTTTCATCTGTCATTCCTAGCTACCAAAGCAGGATCTAGAACAATAGAAAGCTTCATTTCACAATGTTGATTGATTGCTAAACAATTACAGCCACAGAGAAAGCACTCTGTGCTTTTGGTCTATGTTATGAGCACGTTCTCCTTTGGTCTTTCTCCCTTCTTTCCCCTCCTATGCTCTATCTCCTAACTCAGTGTCTTCTGGTATCAATTACACCTTGCCATTTCTTTATGCCATCTTAATTGTAGCTTTCATTCATCTTTTGCTTTGTATTCCTCCCATCCTTCTACCATTCTTCATTCTTTAATTCTTCCCATATAGTCAGTCTCCTTACCTGATTGCACCAGCAGGAAACACCACCAACTTCTCTTCAGCGCTATCACAGAGCAGGTACTAAACCAGCTCACAAGGGTGGGAGCTTTATAGGAAGCCTAGTAGAGTTCCCAGGCTATAAGGTGCTTTTTCTTGATTAGTAAGTAGGCTGATTGGAGTAAGAGTGATGGGACCCACCTGCATATGTTCCTCTGCAATGGCCTATCTCTCAGTCACAACCTCAAACCATGCTCCCAGGCCCAAGCGAACCCCATCTGTCAGGGGTTGGAAGCACTGTCCTGGCCCCTGGGGCTGACAGTAATGGGTATCAGTGCAAACTGCCTGCCTGGGTCAGATAACTACAATCATTCATTTTCTTCCAGCCTTAGGCTACAGATTTTCAGCCAGAAAGGCTCCCTGAATGTCAGAGCTGGATTAGAAGAGGGCAGAAAGAGTTAGTCATCCTCTGCTTGAGATATGTACACTTTCAAACAGGTCTCATTATCCCCTTGGTTGTTCCCTCCTCTGACACGAGAGGCCCTCCTAAGAAGGTTACTGATTTGAGTCATATGCACAGTCCACTGTATTGTAAGTATAAGTGACCGAAAATTTGAAGAATACATAATATATTGAAACTTCACTATACCCTTTGTCTTGTTTATTCATGATAAACCAATGGGTTAAGTATTATTATCGATTATTTCACAGCTGAGGAAATTGAAACTCAGTTTTTGAATCACTTTACTCATCTAAAAGTTAGCAAGTTGCAAAATTGGTGTTGAAGACCATGTCTGTCTGATTTCAAAGCTATCAATCTTAACCAGTATGTTATATTACCTTCTATAGTCAATTATTTCCTTCTATATATTCAGGAAATATGTTTTAAAAATATGATCTTCAATCTATCCATCTTATAGATCGCTTAATTCCCAACTGCATGTCCATATCTGGCTTTAGCCACATTTTCACCAGAATCCAACTTTCCACAGTAGGTAGTAAATCAATAATCCTGATCATGTCTAACTTTCCCTTGTTTTATACTCTTGAAATATTTTCCCATTTATGTCTCACTATATCTGTATGAGACACACTGATAAAAAGTGTCTAACCCAATGAGAGATACTCACCAAGAAACTCCATAAAATATCAAGAAAATCCATAAAATTACATATTACATAGTATTCAGATCTTATGTAAACATCACCCTTTACTCCCGTTCCCAGCAGCAAAAATGAGTGACTCTGAAAATTTTAAATGAGATTTATAAATATTAAATGAGAAAAGAAAGGATAAGAGGCATGAAATCAATATTCATAAAGAACAGTTTTCATTAATTCAAAAAATACATTGAGTGTCCACCGTATGTTCTTAACTACATTATGTGCATGGAATACATTGAAGTGGAACAAAAGGCTCTGGGCTCTTATGGAGCATGTAGAAGAGTAGGAGACATACAGTGTTAGATAAGCATATAAATAGTACAATGACAGAAACCGTAATATATCAAAAGGCAGATCAGGAAAGTCCTGTGGACGGAAGTGAAATTGAAATTGTCATTGAAGGCATACCAGGAATTCTTTATTTTTCCACTTGTTGTACAGCACCATACTCTCATACTTTGTCCACACTATTTTCTTTTTAATACTTTCTTTCTTATTTCCAACCTCTTACACATTCTGACCTTATATTTATAAAGTCTATAAAGAAATACATAAGTAAAGACAAAAGAAAATAAATGTTCTATGTTAAGCACTGAATGCCAGAGTGATTATAATGAAGCAAGAACAAGCTGAAATAGTTTTCAAAAAAGTCATTAAACAGTGGCATGTGACAGAAAACCACTCAGTGATAAAGAGGAGTAGACCAGCAATACAGGCAACATGAGTAAATCTCAAATGCATTATATTAAGCCAGGCACAAAAGACTATTTATTGGGAACTTCCGTTTTCATTATACTATGAAAAAAGAATTACAGGGAAACCACTCAGTGCCTGCCAGAGGCTGGGTGTGGACAGAGGGGTTGACTGCAAATGGACAACATTGAGAAATTTCAGGGAGTAATAGCATTGCTCTATATCTTAGTTTTAACTGGCGATATGACTATGCATTTGTCAAAATTTATAGAACTATGTAGCAAAATGAGTGAATTTTATTGATCATAAACTTTATTTTTGTTTTCTTTTTTTTTTAGAGACAGAGTCTCACTTTGTTGCCCTCAGTAGAGTGCTGTGCTGTCACAGCTAACAGCAACCTCCAACTCTCAGGCTAGGGTGATTCTCTTGCCTCAGCCTCCTGAGTTGCTAGGACTACAGGTGCCTGCTACAACACCCAGCTATTTTTGTTGCAGTTACCACTGCTGTTTTAGCTGGCTGGGGCCAGGTTCAAACCCACCACCCTCAGTATATGGGGCCAGCACCCTAACCCCTGACCCACAGGTGCCACCCTTGATCATAAACTTTAAAAAACATGTTATATACTATTGTGAAGCATAAAATGTTCTATCAAGCTGCAATAAATTATTGCTATCATAAAAACCATTTATGCAATACCAGTTCACAGTCCATTATATTTGTACTGCCCCATACAACATCTACTAGCTACATGTGACTATTTAAATTTACATTTAAATTAACTCAAGTTCAATAAATTTACAATTCCATTGCAAGATGGGCAAAGGACTTGAAAAGAAATTTCACCAAAGAAGATAGGCATGCGGCCAAAAGATATATGAAAAAATGCTCACCATCCTTAATCATTAGAGAAATGCAAATCAAAACTACTTTGAGAGATCACCTAACTCCAGTAAGATTAGCCCATATCACAAAATCTCAAAACCAGAGTTGCTGGCGTGGATGTGGAGAAAAGGAAACACTTCTACATTGCTGGTGGGAATGCAAATTAATATGTTCCTTTTAGAAAGACGTTTGGAGAACACTTAGAGAACTAAAAATAGGGCTGGGCGCCTGTGGCTCAAGCGGCTAAGGCGCCAGCCACATACACCTAAGGTGGCGGGTTCGAATCCCCAGCCCGGGCCCGCCAAACAACAATGATGG